TCTGGCCGGGTGTCCCGGGTCCTCGGGACAGGAAGGGGCCCCCAAACAAGGAAGCATCACCTGCGGGCCTCGCCCCTGCCCCTCTGCTTGAAGGGACGACCCTCCCCCCCTAAACGCCGAGTTCCCCATCCCGGCCCCCACCCTTTTTGGAGCCAGGGTTGGGGGGTCCCAGGAAGCCGAGCCCCCTAGGATCTTCCAAGCCCCTCTCCTCCAGGCGGGCGCACCTCTCGTCCCCCGCGAAGGCTGGTCCCTGGCGGGGTTCAGCCTCTTGGTTCCTGGGCTCTGCTGGCAGCGTTGGCACCCTCTCTGGAGCAGCCCCCCTTCCCCGTTAGCGGGGTGGCAGGCTGCGGCTTCCCCTTGGGAAACCCTCCGGGGGCCCCTCCAGAGGCCGAGGTTTCCGATTCCGAAATGGGTTTGGAGTGGCGGGCACCCGGCACCCAGGCTGGGCCCTTTGTTGTCATTCCCGCAGACCCTGTGCCTCTTTTTTTATTTTATTTTTTTATTGCTTACAGTATTTGAGGCTGCTCTGCCTCTGTATCTATTATTGTTCAAAAGTTTATAATGGTACCCTTTGCCTCTTGCAGCCCTTTCAGGAGCTTGTGTTTGGCTCACCCCGCAGTGACCTGGAGGCAGGTGATTTTCTTGAGTGTTTTAGTTGCAGGGAGCCAGGCTCATGCCTAGGGTTGAAGGTGTGACCCCAGTTTTTTGCCGGGCACGAGGGAGAAAGCTGACGGCTTTTCCTTTACTGGAACTGCCCAGCAAAGGAGGGTTGCGCGACTTGTGGCCCTGGTGTGATTCGTGTTTGTGGGACTAAGAATTTGTCTTTCCACCTTGGTGTCTCCTCTCATCACCTTCTTGTACTAATATATATATCCCCCCACTGAGCCAATCTTAAGAGAGAAATGTTGCCTTCAGTTTGGTTCCGTAGGACTTGCGCAGGATAATGGGTAGTTTCTGAGCCCTGGTCAGTACTGCTTTGTGTGTTTTCAGGGGTGAAGGTTCTGTGCTTCAGCACTTGATGTTTCTGGCATGTGTGGATTCAGATTTTGACAGTTTGGCAGGAGTTTGTGTTCCCACGGTTAGCGGCATGAGGAGCAAGGCAATGTTTTTCATTTTTGTCCTACCTGATTCAGCACTTGTACAGAGTTGTCACTCAGGAAATTTTACATACACACAGGAGACCTTTTTTTTTTAATCCTGAAAATCTGTTAATCAGGCTTCCCCTTGAGTAACTCCCCCTTGACCTCTTTTTCTGCCCCAGAAACATAAATAATTGTTCTTTTCTCTCTAGTGCCGCTTTTCTCATTTAAATAACCTCCACAACCGTGTTTTCATCAGCTCGGAATAAAAGTGAAATCTGTGAAGTTGATTTTTCCCACTTCCCGTTGTTCACTTGGGAACAGTGTTGAGTCTTCCACTTGTATTTGTGCATTTACCTGAGATTGGGATTGGAAATAAATTTAACCTTTGGGGAAGGGGTACAGGTAGAGAATGAAGGATTTAATGTTTAGGCAAACAATGAGATTTGACATGGGAAGTTTTTTCCAGGGATGTCTTCCTACAGATACATGTGCTGTTGCCTCTAGAGAAGATTCATGGAGTTCAATGTCTTTGTGGCTTTTGAATTACTTTTCTTGATGCTCCTGGGAGGGGTCAGAGGTGAGGCTCCTGCTTACTTTATCCCTATGTCTGTTTTCTAGGCTCCCACACCAGCGGGGCGAACACTGCTTCTTACTACAGCTGCTCAGAAGCACCATTGGAAGCTCAGGTATTACAGGAGCTTTGGATACCTTTTTGCAAAAAAAAAAAAAAAAAAAAAAATCTGGGATTCAACAGTGGAAAACAGAACAGACTGTAATATAGAAATCTCTTTTCAGATCTAAAGCACTGGAGCCTGATTGGAAGAAATAGGTGACAAAGTTCATATGCATTGAAGTGTTCAGACCAAAAAGATACTTATGACAATGGACAAAAGCATGTATGAAAGGTGA